ACGGTTTTGAATTGTGGGAGAAACCCCCCCCCCCCCCCCGTTTTTATGAACTTTATGAATATTGTTCTGAAGTGAACTTTAAAAAGATGTCATAGAATATGATATTGAATCTAAAATAATGTTCTCACAAGGAATTTTAAGTTATAATCTCTACGTTTGTAATATTAAAGTAAAAGAATATTATGGTAGTATCATGAGTAAAATAATATTAAAAAAATTATATTATTAAATATCATGAGTGAAATAAATATCGTGATTGAAGTGACAAAAGATTGTTGCATCCAATGGAACTTTTCCATGTTTAAAGGAGACACAAGGGTTTTCCTTCACATATAGAATTTGTGTTGTAATCCAAAAGAATTTTACCTTTAATCATGTGAATCTTTTTTTTTTGTGTGTGTAATTCTAGTCAGCAAATTAAAATTCCTCTCAATCATGATGACAAAACTCAAATGACTAATCATTATCCCAAGAGGCAACCATTTTCTAATTGAAGCTTACGAGTTATTTTGGTTTTTGATATTTGTATTTGAATTTTAATTAATTTGGATTAACACAAAATAAATATAACAAAAGCAATCATAAAAAGATAACATATCCAATTGACTCATGTCCACTAAATATATAATCTAAATTGACTCATGAAATTCTTTATTAAAATATTTTAATTTTTTTTTGAGATGTTACATATAAATATGATAATTTTTCTTAATGAAGCAATTAAGCAAATTATAAGAAAACAAATAAAGAAATTAAAATTTAGAAAAAAATTAAGCAATTCATTTCACCTCACATAATCTTTTGGTGCGTCTAGTCAACTCATTTGATACCGTTAACATAAAAAAAAAAAAAATCATTCGTAGAGCTTGAGCTCAATATCTTTAGATGTATAGCATATCTCCAACCTTACTTAGCTCAATAGTTATTACTATTTGCGTTTGGATTAAACTCGTACGATTCTTCTTAAAAGAACTTTCATAATATTAAGAATATCATTCTATTTTAATTTAACTTCTATTATTCATCAACTGAACTTTGTTTGCATACTCAACACAATCTTTAAAATATTAATCAACATATTAGGAAACTTTTAATCCACTTGTCCAATATTGGTTTATTTGGTTATAATATAATTGGGGTCTCACTTGGCTTTTCCTGTCTGAGTGCAATATCTTGACTAATGATCTTACTTTAATCATTTTTAATCTAAAATTAGTGGCTATTACTGTTTTTATATTCTAATCATAGAGATTTAAAATAAGGAAAGGGAAAAGTTTTTTTTTTTTTTTTTGGATAAAGAGAAAGAGAGATACTTTTTTTTATATATAAAATAAGAACATGTTATGTTTGTCCAAACTTTTGGAAAGCCAAAAATAATGTTTATTTGTTTTAAAATGTTTATCTTAAAGAATTGAAGTGTTTGTTCAATTTAAAAAAGAAAAGAAAAAGCAAGTGTATATTATTAAGTACTAATCACAACTTATTTGCAAAAGTTAAATAAAAATATATATTTTTTTAAAATGCTTTTGGAGCTTTAGCCAAGCATAAATTTAATAATATATGAGAAGAATGTAGATGATATATATATAATCCATGCTCTCTTTTATCTCTCCAATACCTTAGTAGTTCTTCCAAGAAAAGCAACTGAGAATTAAATGAAGTGACAAAATGAATATATAGACTTTAAGATCTTCAAAACCCTTCTATATAACAACAAAAAATAATTGTTGAAATTAAAAGGTCAATAAGAAAAGAAAGAAAAGAAGAGTTTCTATAGGCCCTTTTTAAAATTTCTTTCGGGGAAAAAAGGACAAATATACTCCCGAACTATCGTAAAAGATATGCAGATACCCTCCGTCATACTTTTGGGACATTGGTGCCACCGTCGTCCAAAAATTAGAGCATATATACCCTTTATACTAACGGACATACATGTGTCATAATCTTATCCACCCATCCGACATTTATTAAAATCGGATCGACGGATAAGATTGTGCCACGTGTCCCTATTTAGTCTTCCGTTAGTGTGAATGACATATATGCTCTAGTTTTTAGACGGCAGGGGCACCAATGTTCCAAAAATATAACAAAGGATATCTGCATACCATTTACGATACTTCGGGGGTATATTTATCCTTTTTCCCTTCTTTTGGACTTAGTCAAAGTTTATATGCATGGATAATGTTGTAATAAGTTACTTATGGATTTTTTAAATAGTGGAATTGTGTTCTTATGACTCGATTCAAGAACCATGATATGATAATTAAAATTAGAATAATGAAGAAAGAAATATTGTGATATGCGTCTATTATTTCTTGCATTACAAGTATTGTTGTGTCTTGAGATCCCAATTATCATGGTTTCATTGTATCACAAAAAGAAATTACAAGAAATAACTATTCACTATACAAAAAAAAAAAGAGAGATTAAATTTGTTCCACCTTTTTTGTACAAACAGTAAAAAAATATAGAACACTTTAGCTAGTAATTGACTAACGAAAAACATGAGACAAAATAACGAAGAAATTACGTAATTTTCTTTCTAAGAAAGAGATCACAATGATTGACAGCTCTTTCAATCTAGCAAAATGGAAAATTTGAATTATAGTAGTAAGCCTACGACCACTGAACAAACTTGATTGACAAACATAGTTTATCCACTATTAATATAACGTTTGTCGAGTCCTTGACAAACTCACATCATCCATTTCAAATTAAACAAAAAATTTTCCCCGAGTACACGAACAATTCAACCTATAGAAATTTGTTTTCTTTTTTCCATCCTTACTTCTTTTATGTTTCCTGTTAATAGTGATATATTTAAGAACTGTTATCAATATCTTATCATTTCTTCGAAATTGTCCACTCATTGCATAATGAATGTAACTGATTATTTCCCGGTGCACTGACTTAATGGATCTACATGAAAGGCGACCAACTCTATAATTTTTTCAATGCCATATCTTTCAAAATTAAGTTGTATACCAGTTTGCAACCCATACTATATCTGCATTTACGATATTTACTATATTTCATACGTTTCAGATATAGCACACCTCATTTTTCTCGTATGAAATTCAAACTTCGACACTTGAGATTCCATAACAAGAGATTACCCCTCGATGCTATTAATTAGAGTTCCATGTAACTAACTTTCAAATAACTTGAATAATGTTGCATAAATATTATATCTTTAGTGGGTAGAACTTAATCTCTTTCCTTTCCTTTCTTTCTTTGCTGCGTGCAGGAGATAAGGTGACATAATATGTTCTCTCAACATCATATTTATGGGTTCAAAGTAAGATAACTTTGGCAATCTTTATATTTATAACCTCAAAAAATTTGTAGATTTTATAAGAAACATAATGGAGAATATATATAGTGGCGTAGTCAAGATTTTCATTAAGAAAGTTTGAAAATATGAAGAAGTAAATATAGTGTTTGCGTGTAATTTAATAACATAAAAAGTTACCTTGTTTAATTTTCAAATTACTAATTAAGCTTGTTATGAGTAACTATATGAAATTATCTTTCAAGCAAAAGAAACAAATAAGAAAGATTAAGCAGCAATATAAGGAAAAGGAAAACAATGAGCTAATAAACCCCTTTAATAGTAAAATAACGATCAAAATTGAATTGAATCATTATATTATATATATAATATTAAAATAGTAATATAGTTGGTGCCAATACTAAGCTAGCGTTTGGCTATAGATTTTCAAATATTCTTGGCAAATATTATTTGGGTGAAATTTCACCATGTGTTTGGCCATAGTATTTGGTAAACATATTTCACTTTTTTAGAAAAATATGATTTATACCCATAAGTTTTAAAAACTATCAAAACTAACCATAAGTTTGTATTACAAGTCAATTGGATCTTCGTTGCAATAAATAACGAGTAGTATCCATGACACTGGAGCAATGCGGTAGTTTGGAGTGAGTGCAACAAACATCATTCCATACATCGTGAAGTAGATAAAGCACATGGCTTTATTACCCTGAACCGATTGTTCATCATTTTTCATCAACAACCATATCATCACTTTCATATTCACCGTAATATTTCATCACTATTGGTAGTTTACGTAAAAAATTGTGTAATACAACGCAAACAACTACTATAAAGGGTGTTTTTGTAAAAGATAAAAGTTTGGTGTAAAATTTCAATTTTTAAAAGATCCCAAATAATGAGATTTGGTCCAAATACTAGAAAAAACTAGTATTTGGGAATTTGGGATATTTGCCAAATAATGACAAATTGTATGGACAAACACTATTTGCCAAATTTTTCCCAAA